CACACGACGTTGTGCTAACATCTGTCCGGATTACAAATTTGGGATGGATTGTTAAATATACACTACCCATGAACTTCAAGAAGCAAGCCAAAAGCAAATTCAGCCCTTCCTTAGAACATGGTTGGTGTAGATATACTAAGTATTGGTGGTGTACAGGTGATGGCAAACCGAAATCCATTATAATCCTAAAACAGCAGGACTAAATAAGTGGAGTCAATTGCAATCTAAATGGATGTGTCTTGTATGCCGTGTGTGTACGTGTGTGTGCGCGCGCAAGACGATAATTAAGCGATCTTGATAACCCCAACTTACACGTTTGTAGTAAAGTATCACAGTGTATTTATGCTTCTTCTCTGGGTTCCTGGACTTTCCTTCACCTGATCAAAGTTCCGCTGCCAGTGGTTGATTATTAGTGTACGTGACACATTATGACGAAAATTAATGGTTTCTATCATATATTTAATAAATTTGTCATTGTTGTTTACAGTACACGAGGATCACAGGTTTTTCACACAAAGAAGTTTTCTCGGTACTACAGCCAAATAGATGAACACCACAGATGTGACCACATAAAATGTATTTATCTGTAACGTGTATATCGTTGCCTTCAGTAAAATAAGGGAGAAATGTTGAATTTAGGTTTTTTAGAAACCTGTTTGTTTTTCAATACTTTGGTCAATGTCCGTCAAGAGCAGAGGAAAAATGGCCTAACGCCACTTTTATTCTGTGCATGCAAACAGTGGGGGCACTGGAAATGTTTGTGTGAAACCAGTGTCCACAATGACATTACGCGTTTGTTTAGCACTCTCATAGATAGTGTAAGTTCACGTTTGAGAACGAAAGAAGAAATGCCACTTGTGATACACATATCAGTCGCTCAGGGGTGATATCAAGCATTTCACTTGGAAATATTAAAGGCACTCCAAGTCAAACAAAACTTGTTTGCTTGTCAAAATATATACCGGTTGAAGGAAAATTTCATCATTCTTTTTCAAATGTTAGTAAAGCATGTGGCATTTGCACAGTATGAATTTCGCACTGTCGAATGACTCATTCTAGTGAGCTTTATGTGGTCTTTAATCAGAAAACCAAATTTTCCAGAATTTAGCTTGAAACTACTAACGGAATGGATGACAATATTGTGATATGTTTCCCCAATTGGAAAAGATGTCAAGAGATTCTAAAATTTTCGATCCAAAACAATACCACTGAGGGATATGTTGATGTATTTCGGGTTACGTATAATTCTCTGTTTTACAGTTAAAAAGGTTTAAGTAAATCAAATAATATTTGATTTTATTGATTTTAAACTACTGCATTATGCTGTTTTACAGTATTTCCGATTACCATAGCAACGAATCAAAGGGTTTCGATAATTTCAACGGAAAAAAAGTTTGTCAAGTGTTTGTCAAACACAGAGTAAGAATAGGAGACATTGAGACGATGTGACGCAATCAATCTGTGTATTATCAAACTAGGTGATGAGTCAATTTAGATTACATTCTGATGGAGAGGATTCAACCATTCTATTTATTTTCTGATGAATGTTGATCATTGTTTCAAATAGAGAAACACCATGATCTCAAACTGCAGGCATAATTCATTTAAAAATTGATCATGTAATCTGAAATAGCAGAATATGAAGAGGAGTGAAAATACACAATATTGCAGAAAGAAATATACATGTAACAGTGTGAATCGAAGGAAATATTTAATTCTATGGAGAATTCCGTTTGATTCGCCGTACTGAAATTAAGGGTCTTAACGGTTTGTGATTTCCACCCCTGCATTCACAAGCGGAGACACATACCAAGGGCAAAATAAATCCAAATTCTGTCTGAATGGAAAGGCGATGAAAGCACTTTCATTTCCTTTAACGGTTATGTGTTTTGACAACTGAGGCAGTTGTTTATGGCAAGATGAATCACCGGTTTCTGAAAGACATTCAACAGTTCACATCAAATATAGAGACTTCAACAGAAATAAACAAACGTCATTTGAACGAACTGGGCAGATAAAAGTTAGTTCCCAAGATAATTGTTCAACATTTCCTGTCTCCATATTAACTGCAAAAGATCTAGAATACAACCGTGGTGTTTATTCACCTATTAGAGACATTTTTAATCGGAAAAATCAAATATCCTGAAAGATGTGCTCGGTGATGAAAACCTTATTTTCGCTCATGTAATTCGGAAACAATTGACTTGTTTGAGGGGGCTGACGTATATGGTGTTAGTTAGGACAAGTAAAATAAGTTTTAAAACATTGTTACATAAAAACGGTTCTGAAACATAGTAGCTGACAACCAGGAGTTATGAGCTTCAAATACATTGTTAGATTAGGTATTTTGACAACGCCCGTCTTGCCTCAAAAATAGAAATGTAGAGAACCCTTTTCTAGCACATTGCTGTACAGAAGTTAGTATCCTTGGTTCCAATTTGTGAGATCTTTGTGTTCAACTGCAACCTCTTTCCGCCTTCGTTTATGGATACATGCGTATTCAGCTAGTTTATTTCTATTTGAGACGAACTATTCAAAAATGGGGACGTTAGTTTGAACTGATCACCGTTCAGACTTCATCTACACATACCATTCTTAGTTCAGCCAATCAACCATGCATTTAGAAGCCACCAAACGCAAGTTTCTCTTATGTGTAGTGCATTTTCAAAGGATAATCCGGAAATCAAATACCAACCATTGTCACCGAGGGCTTGTGTTGCCACTGTGACAACCTACAACTAGAGCTTATAAGATTTGATAATTCGTTAGTTCAGGTATTGCTTTTAAATAGTGGTCAGTTATTTCACTGAGGCTGGCAAAACGAAAGGAGACACAGTTGAATATCTGTTGACTCCATTCGAAAGTCCAATAGCAAGATTGCCTGAACCTTCATGGGATACCCGATTTGGTGCGAAAGATAGTCAACAGATAGTCAACTGTCTACCCCATTGTTGAGGGGTTAAAGGAACTCACTGACTATCACCAAAGATAATATGTGAACTGAATTGATAACTCCTGTCAACCTCAATACATGCATTATATAGGATTTGCTTAGTAATAATTAAATGACTGTAAATGGTTTTGTCATTATTCTTATTCCCACATATTTACTTTTGATCTTAGTAGCCTGAGACTGTAAAGAAGGAGGTAACGGTACATGTTGATGTGCATTTGTGAACGAATTGCCAGTTTGTCATTAGATTTAACCTTTCCCGCGTGGATCACATGCCATCTGCCCTGTGACGCTCTTCTCATCAAGCTAAAACAGCTGAGGCCCCCTAGAGCAATCACGGTTTTCGCGGCAAACACAAATTCGGGCCTGGCAAGCAAACGGTCAGCATCTCAGCAATGGTGACTGTCCAAAATTAGGCAACTTTCGATCGGCTGAGTAGGATGGGGCACAAGACATTGGAGGCCTTTGCTGGATCGACTTTGTGTCTCGTATCCAGGTAATGATCCATAAACGCATTAGGGATAGTGTCAGCCTCTTTGCCCTAACTCACTAATCCAGGGTGGCACTTAATCATTAGTTTAGCGTAGGATCTACGCAAGATGCCGTACAGATGCACTCAAAATATGGGGGTTATTTCAGAGTGTTCGTTTTTTACTTAATTTTAGTTTTACCAATGATTTAAATAACACCGATAACAGTGTGGTTGTGCGGAACTCGGAATTTGAAGTCGCTCTCAGTAGTTGTTCCATATTTGAGTATGTGAGGTTTACCGGATGGAATCTTCGTGAACTCCCTCTATCTCTCTCGCTTTCTCGAGGACCCAAATGAATGCTTGTTTTACCGGAATGGGCTAGGTTCTCTTCTTAGTTAAAAAGCTTCTCCAGATAATCGTGCAGTGTTTGGGGTGAGCCTCAGATTTTATTCTCCTGCGTCACCTATAGTCAACTCGTCCCGGCCAAACCTCTTACAAATCCACAAAATTACTTTTGCACGTCTGAAGGAGTACAGGAGTTGCACGTGAATAGCATGGTACAAAGCGATGAATCCTTAAATGAATACTGAAGTTCTTGTTCACACCTGGAATAAGTAGGAAAAACGACATGTCTTGAACTTAATGTTGATCGAATCTGTTTAGATATTCACCGTAATAAAACATGGGTGTCAAACAGGCTTTAAAATAATCATTGCATTACTGATTCATTTTTACGATGCCTCATTTTGTAATCTTGTCTCAGGTGTTTAGGGGCAAATTTGTGCATCGGCTGAGTACAGACTAAGAGACTAGCAGTGTGTGTGTGTGTGTGAACGTGTTAAGCACTCAACTTCAAGACCACTGATCATTTTTGGGCACTTTAATTCATTTTCCGAGCATATTAAAAAAATTGAGGGTAATTCAGTTGTTGGTATGAGTTTATTTCTCTTCGATTACCAGCTGCTATGACCTTTTTTCCTGTTTAAACATGTCTCCCAGTAAATCAGTTCGGTGGAAGTAAGAAAAAGTGGCCAAAACTGTGGTAAACATGGAATCTGAACAAACATCACTCAAATCAGTCGATCCCAAGCTTGACATGATTATCGCACAGGGAACGGACACAGTTCGTATCTGACCGTTCTTATCTAGTGAAAAACGGGTCCTGTGGTTTTTCCAGATTGGGAACAACGTCCCGTTGGGAAATCAAAACTGTTTTTGACAAACCATCAACTGAAAATTTAGTTTGCCTCCAATACTTCAGTGCAAATGTCCGAAACTATTGAGAAATGAATTTTAATCGCCAGAGTTGAAACTTGCTATCGTTTTATGTTTTATTAATGGATCTGGGTGGTCTGTCAATCACCCGTAATGTTGTATGTATCTATATCGATGTCACTACCTTGGAAACAATCATGTTGCAAAGGCAGCCAAACTAATAACATAACATGGCATAAGTAAGGCAATACGGCGGAGAAAGACGTGGAAAACAAACGAGTGATGTGCTATTGATATGAAATACTCATCCAAGATAAATTTCTCTGAGAACCTGATACTAGTTAAACGTTATAAAGTGGTATGATCAGGATAGGTTAGTCCTGATAATTCACATCTGTCTGCCTGTTCGTGAACTTTAGACTTCAGGCATGGACAGGCAAATTTGAAGTACACTGATAATTATTATCAAACAATTTACAAAGTGGGAAATAACGTTTTCTCCCTATATTTGTTAATTTCACTAGACTACTCAATAACTTGGTTAGATTTATTTGACTGTAAAAATAGCCACTATTATCATGTAATGGCGAAACATTTACGTTCGCATTCTCAAACATTCTCAAACAAGAGAGGAGTGATGAATACCCATTTGAGGGGTGAATATGAAAGGATAAATAATTATGATTTTAAGATATGCGAAGAAGGTTCTTTTGAAATATTATCTCATTTAAGTTAACGACTTATGTGGACTAACGGAACAATATTATTTGACGCCATCTGGGAAGTTTAGTTTGTTTCATGATATGTACCCGTCAGACCGAGTCCAGTTCACCCATCTGCCTTAAAGCATCGGACAAGTTTTTCATCTATTCTGGTAATCATCAACGGAGCATATTCACCAAAGCCATTGCCTAGTATGGTTCAGTTCTTCATTAGAAGGTATTATTGACTACTATCAAGCTACTGTGAGCCAGATTTGGTAGAACAAGTGGAGGGAGACAAAACTCGCTATATCCGGTTTTGAAGCTCACTGGAGTCGATGTCCGGTTTAAAACAAGAGTTAAACTCCCTGAATTGATGAACCACCAGTTAGCTCTGCCAACTGAGTGCTTTTGTCTAACGTGTTGCAATTTGGTGTGACAGAATCCACTTTTGGACGAGTGTGTGGGTGCTTATATGTTTGGCTGTGGACCAATGAAATCACAAGAAGGGGGACAAATCTGAACGATGTTAAAAATTTATTAACTTTCAACTATAGGCTGTGTTATTCTGGAATGAAATGACCAGATAGGGATACTGGAACAGAATCTATGGGATGAGTTGGTAGTCTATAAGGGAATGATCCTTTGCAAAGGGTCAGAAGACAATCACTCCATGTGACTAGGTTAACAACAGTGATTAAACCGGGTTTCGTTGTCAGCACTTCTCTGGTTTCATAATCCTATTAGGTGTGCATTCTTCAAGACACTAGACTCTTTTGAAGTTACTTCTCGGTGAAAGTTCGGTGATAGACGAGGTTCAGGCATAACATGACACATTAGACGTCTGTCGTTGCTGCACTCGATGCACAAAACAGTTTCAGGACCTTATAAAAAGTGCAAACAATGTTGCGTTCTTCACAAACTACTGTATTTTGTAGTATAATTAACCGCCTAATAGGTACTCAAAAATCTCAAGTAGAAGTAATGCTTTGATTCAAGTTCTATGTGATACTCAAGTTTCGATATTATTGACTTCAGTTCGTAAACCTAACGGAGGAATACAAAACAGCATGACAACGTAGGTAAATAGCTTAAAATTTATTAAAGATGATTAGCTATACTGCGGAAAAGTGCCAAGACTCTTGTTGGTTTTGTGTACTTTTGAACGAAGAAAACTGAAAACAGGAATCTTCAACTTTGTAGAGACGCCTGTAGTTCAAACTGTATTGTTATGATAATATTCAATCGCTCAGAGATCAAGTACATCATTTAATGAAAAAGTGTACACTTACGTCAATAACATTTATTACCATGGGATGAAAACATTACACAACTGCATATTGTTCATCAGTTCCCTCTTATATCAAAGGTCACTCAGTTCACGTCAATACGAATAGGTCAATAGTAGAAACGAAGTTAACAAAATATTCCCTTTTTCTATTTCGATCAGCAGGAAGGTATACTATGTCGAAATATATGTCCTGGCATAAACCGCTGTTAAACAACAAATGAACTTGAGGAAGAAAAGCGGAATGATTTGGGAATTTGGATGGAATTGCCATGAAATAATGAAACAAACTAGATAGAATTGGAGTTGCAATACAGCAAGCATAATTTACCGATGATGATTCAATTGTTGCCGGCACCTGAAAATGTGCACTTAATTGCTTCCGACAAACAACTAGATAAAACTGATAACATCGTCTAGGTTTGATATATCGGGCGATTTTTCTACTCTCCGGTATATTTCCAGGCCAAATCAGGAGAATTTTATCATGGAGTCTCCAGATAGCCGTATTTTTAGCCCTAATGTGTTGTTAAAAAAATGCCATCTATTGGGTGCCAGTGTCAAGTAAGTTGGATCACATGCGCTTTAGAATGGATCAAACGTCCAAGTTTTTAATTAAATTTTGGTTACCAATCGAGCCGGTGACCGCTGCCACAACCAGGAAGGAATGGGTGTGGTTTAACACCTCTTTTGAGTTGCTTCAGAACCAATGTTTGAGCTAACTCCCCTAGGTGAACTGCTAGTAGTTCACACAAAGCCGGATGAGTAGGGCTTCCTCAGTAGACATTATTTGGAACGCGTCGTCGCATAAGAGCATTTTATGAAATTCAAGGAAGAGCAATCGGTCAAAATGCAATACGTATATCTTGATCGTGTGTGACTTCCAGGGGTTGATTTCTTTATTGTCAAAATTATTTTACGATGAGTTTCTTGTTACACGGTTCGAAATCAGAGGCGTGGGAAATGCAAAAAAGTAATCTTCAGTAACACAGTGCCGTGTCCAAAACTTCAAGAAGTGTACCAACTGTCAACCGTTTGTATTCATTACTAATTTTTCTGATTCACAATGAAGAATTGTCATGTTTCATCTGGTATTTGATAACATCCGCTTCGAATTTCTATTCTGGTGTTCTCAAGTTTTCATGGGTTTAATTATTGAAAACGGTTTTTTAGGCTTATACCACTTTTGAACAGCAATTATTTAAAGGTTTATTTACCGTGTTCTACCAATCAAACAAAACTGATATCCCGAAAATAATAAAAGTGAACAGCCACTAGTTTCAGCTCTAACTGTGATGGATTACATGGTTCAACGAGAATTTATTCTAATGTTGACTTTACTCAAATGAACTTTCATCTTGGTTGATCAAGGAATAAACTTGTAAGATAGTGGAATGAAATTACTGTCACATTTAAAATGTTTAGCAACGCCACAAAAGCACGTAATCCATGTAGGTATTAGTGACTAGCAGTCAGCAAAACATTTGGTTTACACACCGTAAAGATTATTTAGGTACCTTACTTGCAAAGTATGCAGAAAAGGTTCTGAAAGGTGGAAATGCTTCACAGTTCCTTACACGTATAATCCAAAAGTAGATAGACATTTAGAACAGCTCAGATGATGAATCAGGCAGATGAACCATTCATGAGCAAGTGATCACTGAAATTTACCAGAACATAACTCAGCTTTATTACCTTCTACCTGAATCGCCGAACCGAATCCAACGTTATCCTTCTCTACTCCCCGCAGTCCTTCCACAAATTCAGCAATGTTGCTAGACATCAGCTCAATAGTATCAGTATCACAATACGATATCAGCTTCAAACAATAAAGGATATTTTGCAATCGTGCACATACTTGAAAGTACTTGCCCCGTTGACGGATATCATTGATGGTTATTTAAAACTGATCTAACGATCAAAATGGTTTGTTAAACCGAAAAATAAGGCTTTACTCCGATTATTTTATTATATTGTTATAATAATTTTTATTATTATTCTTTAATCATTGAAGTGTGAGATACTAAATACACTATTGTGTGTTCCACATGACTGAACCACAACCTCAATTCTAATTCCAAATTGATGCTGAATGACTATTATTTTTTATCGTTGCGTTTGATTGAAATCTGATAACAAACCACAGGAATCATAAAAAATAAGTGACAAAGATTCGTTTCGGATTTGATGGTATGCCTTCCCACTTGATTTGGCTTAACCATTGTCCCAATAGCTACATTGTTGTGTATCTTTCTCGGCTATTCCCCATTGTATCTGATCCACAAAACATGCGATATGAATACCGTACAGAAACGGCAATCAATATTTCAGACGCGCAAGGTTCCAAACTTGCATTATCGCCACACTTGTTTCTATCAAAATGCATTTCTAACGGATCGGATTGTTCTCATGTCCTGGATCTACTCTTGTTATTTTTTCTACTTTACATTCATCCTCTAAAGAACTCAATTAGAACAACGTGTGGCAATTAGTAAACCAAGCACTCGAATAAATAAACGAGAAGGAGCGAAGTGTAAGGTGATTCGTCTATGGGTGAGGTTACAACTTTGAAGTATGTTAGTATACCTAGAAGGACGGTAATGTATGCAAGCAGTGATATTTTTCCTGCAATCTTTGGACTGTGCTGTTTTTTATTTTCACTATCATTCCTTTTATCTTTACCCCGCTTTTCACCTCTGAAGAGTATCACAGGTGCAATGTCTCGACTGGTTCCTCCCGTTATCGTGGCCAATCCCGAAACCCAACGCCTGATTGAATACATCCACGAAACGGCATACAGTCAAGATGAACTCCCAGTCGTAAGTGTTTGTTTGTGGAAATCTGTTCAAACGACTGATCCTCGGATATACTGATTGACTCATCATACCATTCGAATCAAATGTTTATGTACTCAATAAGCATATATCCATCTACCAAAGAAATGCAATAAAATGGCAGTTTCTTAGCGAACCCAGATAGATGAAAAATAAAAATATAATGCATTACCGATTGGAGAAAAGTAACCTCATCAGCAGCACATGTCAAATCAAAGATTCAGAATGATTTCCTCTGAATAGACAATTCGGTACTGTGACCTCCATACTACTTTTGCATGCACCTATATGCACCCTCTAGATTGTCGAACTTCGGATCGATCTGATGTATACTACATGTTTACACCAATAAAAGATTCCTATTTTTTTACATAACACATGGATTATCAGTCACTAATAGATTCCATTTGATAATGACTGCATGGGACCAGGTTTTTTTGTTGGACGCTGTCAGGTAATCATGTGCAAAGATGTGAATGGAGCTCTGAATTGAGTTTGATTCCCAATTATTAACCTTATTCGGAACGTTGCAAATACTGAGCAAAACAATGCACGGTGAACAATAAACTGTGAGATATTTTCATCTATTTGCAGAGCTTGATAAATTCTTTGAGAACATTTCATCACCAAGCGAGGTGACAACTTCAATGCCTTTTGTTTGTTGGCAGTAAAATTGTCGTTGTCGAAATGAATGAATTAACAGAACCGTAAACGATAGTTTTTATTGGCTTTGATAAAATACCTCTAACTAAGCGATCACGCAAAATTCATTGAGACACATGAAATGTTTCCTTGAAGGTGCGCTGGAAGTGGCGCATGAGTGTACCCGCAAAAGAGTTTGCGAATATTCTTTTGTGTGTGTGTGTGTACAAAACCCCACTTTCAATCGATTCTGCCTTATTTGTATTTCACGTTCGACTGTGCGCTAAAATTGAAGTTGCCTAACACAAAAGTTTAAACGCGAACTTGAGAGATTGCGCAACGTTGAAAAGCAGGCAATGACATCCACGATAATAATGAGAACAGTTTCGCACCTGAACAAAGTGAAGTGGAAAAGATGCTATGAGATGTTTCACCTCTAGTTTAGTATACATTGAACGAGATTGATTGAATGGACCAAAAGCCTACAAAGGATGCCCCTCTTATTGATCCACTCTGTATCCCACTGGGTCCTGATTCTTAGAAGGAAAACTGAACTATATCTATCAAGGAGCTTTAGAAAATTTCAGAGCAATTTACCAGTGGAAGCTCCAGGTGAACAATGGGTTTCAATACTTCATAATTAGATCAGTAGAGAAAAGAAAGAAAGAACTTAGCGGTTAGGGAGACCATCTCCACCTTGAGCATAACAGATCACCGTATGTTTGTGTGCACGTACCATTATCGTTATTTTGCTGATGTTTGTGTTAGATTGGTTGATTGACAAAGTTCCAAGGGATAGGTGTTGTTGTTTTAATGCTTGTGCAAAGAAGACGAGTGGTTTTGTAAACAAAAGGGAGGAGTACAGAAGTACAGGAGCTTTTGGGGACATGGTTCGAGGTTCAGGTTTCTAATAAAGATGGTTTCCTCAGTGGGTGACGTGCTTATTTGGATCGGCGCAGGCGAAACTCATAAATCATCTCCAATACGTTACTGGAGCTGTCATGGTAGTCAGTGTCTGATAAATGAACGACAACTGCAAATGAAATTGATCCGAATCGATCCGGCCAATGCGATAACTTAAACCGTAGTCACCATGGAACTGATAAAGTTATGTACACAAGCTCCAAGTGATCTTTTTCACACAATCTGATTGTAGCATCCCAGCACCCTCTGTTCTATGTTCACATAGAATGCTTGTTTGTTTAAATGGGCATTCCAAATGACGGCGTGGTTATGCTCACGAAGTAAGATACGTGAATAATTCAAAAGGATGTTTAATTATTAACTAGGTTTTATTGATTAGATGAATTTGATAGCGAACAGTGCGATTGGGGTGAACATTTTTCAATAAGGGTTTCATGCGTTGTCGTACATTAGGGTATCGGTAACAGAATGCTGCTGCCTTGAATGTTGACACTGAAGATGCGGAAACGTTTTATACTATGAATAAACACTGTTTCAAGGGCGAACAGACAGTGGATATTATTGATTTGAGCTGACCATCCTTTGGATTTTACCTTCACGCACAATCTTCAACCATACACTTACAAGTAACTGTGAGTCAACTTGAAAGACTGTGAATAGTCTGGTTCGCGGCAAACACCAAACTGACAAAACAAACGGTATAATATACAGATAAAATACAATACGCATGAGGTACGTTTCTAAAACAGTTTTGGCGCTAACTGAAGGCTAATTTTGAATTATTAACGGTGTATACCCAATAATGGTTAAAACAATCCTTCCTTTATCCAAGCGCTCGCAATTTCCAATAATCTATTTAAACATTTTGGATTAAATTATCCTGAAATTCCGAGCGGTTTAGAATAAACATTGCCATTTAGTAATAATATTATTTATACTCTTCTCACGTCTATTTGACTCTCACCCAATTTTATTCACTAATTACCGGTAATGCTGTTCTGATAAGGTCAAACAAAAATAGATCATGAGTGACATCGATTTTTGATCGATGAATTCTGGCAAGTTTCCGTTTGCTACCGACTCCATAAGTACGATGCAATTAGCTGCAATTCGAAATGTTCTCACCGCATCCTGAGGGGAACAAATCATATGGTTTTGCAATCAGAACACAAGATAAAAATAGTTTTTAAACGAATGATGAACGTTTGCCGATTCGTGTGATTCCACAATGAATGTAATTATGAATTTCAAAAATGATCACGTTTACAACGTAGCATAAGTGAAACAGCTTCTCGTTCTAGAACTACTCGCAATTGTGACAGCAGCTGATTCGCACCTATTCAAGTCGACTGAATGATATTCGTGAAATGATACCATTTTTGAGTTTGTGGCTACCCATAGAAAGATTTCGAAGTGAAATATGCATCGAATGGTATTGGTTGATGAGTTTTGTAGCAAAAAGGTCTGTAGATAAACCCTCCACAGAAGTCATATTCTTAGAAATGGAGTTCTGAATGAATGCAATTGTGACTGCGCCCTATGGGGATAAGAAATGAATGAATTCCTGTACAGGTTCATATCTTTCTTAGATTTTGTTAAAACAGAATCATTTACAACGAGTTATGATATATATACATCCATAATTTCAGTTAAGTAGTTCTGAACCGCATTCTCCATTGTTCCCGGTTGCCTGAATTGGGGTAAATAAAAGTGACAGCTTGCAAACAATAAGGTGTTTTTCACAATATTCAACTGAGGAAATAAAGATTGTATATTTAGTTGTTCCAACTCCTTCCGGTTAGCCAGCTCCTAGGGGGTTCCACAACTGAGCTACAGTTATGAATATTTGCTTTTGTTCTCTCACTTTGGTGAGAACCCTCACACAACAAGAAGAAGCTATTTTTTCTCACTTGATCCTAACCATTTTTTAGCTACCAATAGAGTATCTGCATCAACAACCGAAAAAGATCAGTATCTGTTGGACAGGCGTTAATGATATTCAGTGGTATACGCTTTTTAAGAACTCCAGTAAAATGTATTGGGAATATGATTATTCAAGTTCAATTGCCCTGAAAGTGGAAGAGCATTGATCCCGTACCGGGTTCATCCGGAGCGAATGTCCAATTACAACTCGAACAAATATTGTTTAGCTTTGGATAGAAAACTATGTCCGTTTTCTTTAATCGTCACATAAAGGCCATGAAACAGAAGAATTGGAACTGTTCAGGTGCTGTTGTTGAGAAAATGTGCGAAGATATATAACTAGTAGTGCTTGAACAAGGAAAAAGTGACATATGAAAATGGTATTTAGTTATTTTATTTCTATGGTAAATTTTGGGAATATTCGGGGTTGATTTGATTCCTGCGTACAATTAGTGCTCCCTGACGCGAGGCGTGGGGAAGGCACACTTCTGTAATTGGCAAGTAAAAATATTTTAAATTTCTTCACTTATTATTGTTCCTAACAAAACAACTGAAAAAATCATAAACAAGCAAAGTGATGAGTTGGAGAGGACCAGATGCAAGCAGAGCATCAGTCTCCATTGTCGCCAGTAAACTAGATCAATGTGATAAAGTAGGAAACATATAGCGAAACCGGAGAAAGTCTTCAGGACAGAGTGCTTTTCTAGCTTAAAGGATGCAGTTCCATACTAATTAACCAGGCCTATTTATGGGCAAATTACCGTCAGATTTAAATTATCGATTCAAGTGGGCTCCATAAATTAATGCCATATGAATTTCAGTCTTTTATTCTGGAAGCTGAATTGGGCTTCTTCCTTGAATAATGTTCCCTGGGAAACAGTTTGTTATAAATGCAGAAAAAGTTAAGGACACAGATATTTTGGGGCCCAGGTTATTGATTAGTAGAGAGAAAGTCTATGGTGGAGAAGAAACCATGTGGTACAAGGAAGATAAAGCTCCAAATTCTGTTTCTTGCGATGATATTTTGAAAGGAGGATGAACTACATTTATTATGGATTTCATTTGAACTGAACAAATCACGGTTTGAAGTCACCCTCATGCTTTGTGGGAACTTTTTCGACTGATATGAGGTAAACCTGATGAAGGTTTTCAATTAACCCATTCCAATAGTCATAGATCTTCCGGATGAAACTAAACATCAACCTTTGTTTGGCTACTTCTGTATATAATTGTTGTGCAAGTCTTAGGCCGACAGAACATAGCGAGTCAACCTTGAAAAGAAAGAAAGACGTAAATACCTTTGGATATAGTGCAAGTGGTTTAAGCCTAATAAAACCAGTAGATGGCCGTTACAAAGACGCTTTCTGAATTGATAAGTTTCCAAACAGTGGCAATTTATTGACGCGTTTGTGATCCGTCATTGTTCAATGTATGTTCCCCAAAATGCTCACCGAATATCGTTCAGCATTAGTAGTTTTCAATCAACTATAATGTTCCTAAAATGTTTACATCGAAGCTTTCAGTTTTAAAAGAAGAGCTTTACTTTTTAGTCGAGAAGTTCACAAAACGTTCAAATTGTGAACGCCATAACGAGAAAACCTTCAACCATTAAGAACTAAAATAAATATAAATCAATGGTGGTAGTGCATCATCGGATGCACTCTGAATGTCGGCTGAAAAATGTGACTAACGTTGCACATCTTCGAAATCTATTTCACAGTTAAAATATCTTGATGCATCAAAGTCCGAGGGTAGATAATAGTCCGTGAAACGTAAAATATTGTGCTCTTTCAATTGTACAGTTTGCAAAAAAAGGAACAGTTATTCACGAACTCCGTTTTACAAATAGTTTGAATGTAAAATTCTGCTAAATCCGTAATCCCAGTTGAAATCCATAGACCATGTTTTAGTTTCTTATTGACTTGTAGAATATATCAACCATGTGGTATCACCGAAGAATTCTCACTCATTTTCAAGCATATGCGATAATGCTGAATCCAGACTTTGAGGATGAACATTTGGACTTAGATAGGAAAACAACTAGGAGCTTTTATTCCCATCAGAATGAGTAGATAGAATATTAAAAACGATTGAAGTCTTAGGTTGAAATCGTGGCCTCGTAACTCAGCTGGTAGAGTGTGCGTTTTACAAAAGCATGGGAGGCCTCCATGCTTGGATTTGAATCCCACCACTGAACGATTCACAATTTCAACATAGATAAGATATCTCGAAAGACAACCTATTTATTCCGTGTGTGAGTGATTCTTGTTTTTCATGATCTTCACTGAACATTGGTGGAAATAATATTATTATTTCTGAAAAGGTTTTCATAGAAGAACGTCTATATTTTCAACCTAGCGGTTTAATATTCATTTCATAAAACAGAAGGAACTGTTACCCACTATGAAGATTAACGGTAAAATGATTGAAAAATTCAACTCGGACTTGCCTAGAGGTGCAGAGGATTCGTGCAAGACGTACACGAATAGGAGTTATGTAACAGGTGTTATGTGCGCAGTCCTAACATAACGATATGTGAGGTCCACACCGTCTTATAAATAGTTTGTTTCGGCGTAGGGAACACCTAAAACCGATCGTGTACGGGAAAATAGTTTGAGATTTTTCTTATGATATTCGGAGAAGAGAGTAAAGAAACTTAGTCTGTCTTTTATTGATCGTATTTTGTAGCACGTTTCAACAGTGTTGGCCTCTGTTCAGAGCGCGTGCTCTCTGTTCGGAGATACGGACAAAGGACTATTTTACAACTGTTCTTTTTTTCCTGACTGTTCACTTACCCGTTGTCTTCATGCAACCGTGTCTGCACCACTGCGGGACGGCTTGATAAATGCTCAAGGCTTATGCAAACTCGTGGCTGTCGACATCGGGATAACCCGGTTAACAAGCTGTTCAGCACACCACACAGCCGAATACACCTTATAAGCTAGGGCAGTGTTGTTGCTAATCCCGTGCATTGGTCTCGATTGAGTTAAAAGCTACCGGTGATTGGATATGGTCAGAGCCAATTTGGAGCCAGCACAAAGAAATAAGTGAGATGTATAGACCATTGACTGTAATATGTGCAATAAAGTTACACGTAGGACGCTAGTGTTCAAACGTTGGGGCGAAAAACCAAATGCAAAATGCCAGAGGAAACTTCTCGT